ACTTGTAACCCATCCTTGAAGAAAGTTGGTAGTGCCAAACATCGATGTACAGGGTGTGACAAAAGAAAATTTACACGGTCTTTTTTACCGCAAAAATAAACTAGGCATCGCCGAACGCTCATTCTCCGCCCAAAGGTAGAGCTAGAGGTCACGACCAGATGCCAAAGTTTCAGCCCGATCCGATAACTTAATCAAAAGTTATAAGTGATTTTCTGAAAGGTTAAATGGAAAAATGGAGCCCATTTCTGCCTGTTTTCGGTTTCTCGTGCCATAGAGCCCCATGTGTTTGAAAACTCCGTCGGCCGCCATTTTCCCATTGAAATTTTCGGAAAATCCCTTATAACTTTTGAATAAGTAATCGGATCGGGCTGAAACGTTGGCACCTGGTTGTGACCTCTAGCTCTACCTTTGGGCGGAGAATGAGCGTTCGGCGATGCCTAGTTTATTTTTGCGGTAAAAAAGACCGTGTAAATTTTCTTTTGTGACACCCTGTACGTTGCCGGTTGGAAAGGGCTGGCAAAAGCTGATCTCGACCTAAGTTTGCTGCGCAGGGGTATAGATGCAGAGTCACGGCGCCGCCTGATGGACAGCTCAACCTGGCCAAGATAGTCTAAATGTGCACCAGAAAACGGGAAGGTGTTTGACGCGTCTGCATCGTCGATGTACTCCCGTGCCGACCCATAGAGTGCGCGATAAGCGCTCCATCTCAGCTGGAAATGCTTCTGTTCTTGCGTAATCTGAATATGAAAAGGGCCGGTTGCGCTGGCAGAAGGACTTGGAAGATGTTCAGTTTTATTGCGTTCCTTAAAACATCTTTCGTGCGCATTGATCTGTCTTCATCGCATGATTCTTCTATCGTAAACAACCTGTATTCCAGCTCAATCGCAAGGTCATGCACCGGTAAGAGGAGCGCTCGAAATCAAAAACATTGACTATGATGACGATGTTGGTAATAATCAGCTTCATCTAAAAAGAAAACAAATAGCAAAAGAACCCCAAGAAAAGAAGCACCCGTGCTAATCCACGGGCTTTCATCGCAGAACACGAGCGTCCGTTTTGAATTTCCATTTAAATGCCGGCCGCTCGGTTCCGCCGAAATTCGGGACTCAACACGCGAGTCCTGGCATACGATATGCAGCGCCGTGATCGAGGACAATGCGGTCTAGGATTCGCAGGAATGCGTCCTCGAAAGGAGGGCACAGCCGCTGCCGGTGGCACCGGGGCACACGTGCCGCCCCTCTCCCCAAGACGGAGGCACAATAGACGCCAGGGGATAAGTAATGCCCCTCTGGAGAACGCCCAATATACAAGCAGCAGCAGCGGCGGGCAAGCCAAGGCGCCGTCTGTCAGATCGGCTCGTATTATTCCCTCTCGCTTACTTATCTCCTACTGCGGCCTTCGCTGCCTTTCCCTCTAATTAATGGCGGTCCCCGAGATGAATCGAAATGTGCGACGATGACAAACGGAGCTGTCTTTTTTATTTAGTCATTTTTATTCTTCGCAGTGTTTGATTACCTTTTTTTCGCCCCGTATCGCGTGTCTTGGATATACTACGTACGTATATTAATCTGCGGCATAACATATAGGAGTGAAGTGCATATGTAAAGAAATATTAAAAGCTATTAAGAAAGGCGGTTGGTGCATTTTAAGAAGTATACGGGATGCAGGCAAAAAGTTTTGAGCCGTCTGGAACCGGTGCAGTATATTGCCAAGCGAAACTTCGATTGTGAGAATACCCCGCCCCCCCCCCCCCCCCTTCTCCCCCTTTTAAAAAAGTGAGGTAGGTGAGGAGGCGCTTGTTTTGAGGTCGGCAATAAGGCTCAAGGGCTCGAAGAAAATCCAGGATTCAATTAGCTTTTTAATGTTAAAGCCGGAATCACACTGCGCATACATTATTAAAAAAAAACAGTCTGCAAACACGAGTTACTGCAATATCCGTGTTTCGAATGCCGCGCGCCGAGGTTTTTTCCTTGAACTCATTGCCATGCGGAGTTCGAAGCACGGACTGGCGTTCGAATCTCTATGCAGACTGTCTTTTATATGATGTTTAAAACTGTTCCACTGCTAGTACTCGTACAAGAGACATGGCGTTCGCCCCAGACATGACGACAGTATCATCGCCTCCAGCATGCCCAAAAGTTCGAGCCTGGCTGCAGACAGTTTTTGTATGACCAACGCGGCAGCAGGACTGTCATAAAAAGCAAAGCCTCAGACAGTGTATGCAGAATTTCTTTTTGCACGACGTGTTAGCAGTGTTACTTTGTATACGAAAGGAAGCTTGAAGAAACGAATGTCGACGTAGATCCGATCCAGAAATGTTAGAAATGCTACAAATAGTCCCATTCTTGTTCCCTTACACCATCCCATCATAGTTATTACCTCTTTGTTTCAGTGCCCACGAGCAACAATTGTGTGTAATGTGGCACACATTAACTCGATTAGAAATACGTCTTACATATTTTTACATTTTAAGACAGTCAATATCCACTTACTCGTGTCGTGACGTTTTCTCTTTTTGTCGATTTCGAAAATTTTTCTGAACGATTCCGCGTTGGTGAGTTTCGGCCTCTTCGAAACTTTGTCGGTCACATTTACCCGAAGTAATACTTTCGTAGGATAAAATAATTATTATAATTTTTTTTGAAGACACACGTTAGAATGTATTGTCTACTATCCGATGAGACCTCAAGAAATGTTGAAGCACGGCTGGTTTTGAAGTTGTTACACACGCATCAGCTTCGAAGCGGCGCGCTGTGGGAGTTTTCCAGCTCTTTGATAGGGGACGTTATCCGAGCTATATATAATTTAAAGACTTCGGGCGCATGCCATAGTGAAGTGATGTTCTTTGTCTACTAAACGGCATCCGATTTATTTTTGTCTAACAAACACTTTCTGAGCAGTAGGCTTGTTAACTTTAGTGACGGAAAATCGTCGAAGTCACGTCAACAAACTGTCACGGATACGACATGAAAAAAAAAGTGGTTCAACATAAAATAAACCGTGCTAAAAGACGAGTGCAAGAAACAAGGAAGGAGTGGGAACACCGCTGAAACCCCGTGAACAGAATCTCCCGCGTCGCAACCGCCTGGGCTTGCCGCGGTTCGTGATTAGAGACGTCTAGAGCCGCGGCTCCCGTTGCTGCCGTCGTATCGCTCTTGTGCTTCAGAACGCACGCCGTTACGTCACACTGACGTCACCACGACCCGAGGTCGAAAGAGTCGAGCAAGTGAACTGTAAACGCGCTGTAAAACCGTTGAAGCGTCTAATTTCTCGCACAGAACTTGGGAGAGTCAATAGCTGCAAGCTTCGGAGAGAGCTAGGCGATTAACGAACGAGGATGATAATATATTAGAACAATCAAAAACTACGCTCTGTGCCACTAAGCATGACGATTCACCATGCTCATTACCAAAGCGCAGGGTTTTTTTGTAATTTTTTATTTACACGAATGATCAGTTTTGCGGACTGCCGAGCTTTCTCTGTACAGGGTGCACCCCCAAAAAATGTACAGTGTTTTTCAATCGCAAAAAATAAACTACTCATCGTCAAACGCTCACTTTCGACCAAAATGTGTAGCGTCAGTGGTACGAACCAGATGCTAAATTTTCAAAATGAACCATTTTCTTATTAAGTAATGAGATATTTTCAAATGAAATTTTCAACGGCGAAAACAGTGGCCGACTTACACACTTTCACCCTCCACAAGGGATGTATTGAGAAAATATTAAACCCCTTTCATGGCTGTTGTGGTTCGCGTTGCATCCTTAGTTATAAAATGTTTTTTAGTGGGTCGACACCTTTTGTTACAGGGGTGTTAGAAGGGTACAAACTTTATTGAGCTTTATGGTGGATTCAGGGAAGACATTACTCTCAACATATGCGTTTTCATTATTGATACCACGCCTTATTCGTGCATAGCACTCATTTCACGGTCGCTACACACTGTTAGTTAAATATTAGCTTAAACGCACGCATACAACAAGGAAAGCGGATCCTAATTTCGCCGCTTACAAGCGGTTCGTTAAGGGAGGCTCACAACGCAAACGGCCCGTTATCATGCGGCCCTTCAAAAGGTGTGACAAGCTTATGCGGTACTTGAGATCCAAATTTTCCTGCCCACAAGCGGTCTACGATTATACGGCCTAAAATTTAAAACGTGAACGTTAATTTGGGCGGATCATCGTCATCCGTGTGCGACCTGCAAGCACATTCATTCTGCTCAAATCTTGTACAGGCAATTTTTCCATCAAGAAACCAACCCAACATTTAGGGGGAAACGGCACATCAGAGATCGAACCTGGGTCCCCAGAGTGAAAAGCAGGCGTCATAGCCACTAGTGCTTTGCGGAGAAGTTCAGAAAGAAATGGAGCATAAAACGCGTCCCGAGAACTTAACGTTTCAGTTAAAGTAACTGATTAAAGTTTCAGTTTGGGCCAATTGGTATGCAGACGTAATAAAAACAAAAACAGCGCAAAGACGAGGACGAAGTATTGCTGTTCTTTGGATTGTACTCCTTAGCCTTTTCGTGATATGTCTAAGGTGTCACTCTGTATATATGTTACTTTGATGTAAACACTTTACACAACTATGTATGATTTTCGACCTACCGAATTTTTGCCAACTGCCTAGTTAGGCACACAAGCCCTAGAGACTTCCACCAGCTCGTTATTATACTGTACAACATCTATGTTGAGAATAAAATTGTTCTGTTTTATTCTAAAAGGTAACCGCTGTGTCCTTTGGGTTACCTGGTACTTTTTCCTCGTCTTTATGCTGTTTTTTCCTTTCCTTTTTCACACTTATTATTGTTTCGCGGCCAATGCGATTGCGTCATTAGACGATAAGAGCGCTAAAGTCACAATGAACCAAAAAGCCTTGCGCTACTGAGGCTGTGTAACTTTAGAACTCATATTTCTTAGTGTTCTCTTGGACCAAACGCTCATCTCGTTTGTTGGGCGCATTCTGACTCGCTAAAGAGAAGCGCTTCTTTCCGCTTCCAGATTCGGATCGGCATCCATTCGGGTCCCGCCATGGCCGGCGTGGTGGGCACGCAAATGCCCCGCTACTGCCTCTTCGGCCACACCGTGACCCTGGCCAACCGGGTCGAGAGCTACGGCATGCCCAAGCAGGTCAACATCAGCGAGACCACCAAGGGGTACGAAGCCACGTCGGTCCTAAAGCCACTAAATATGCTGCGCCTCAGAGTAACGAAAGTTACCCACCTTGGGGCTTAAAATCATGGTTGCCAGTTATTCGAAGCTTTGTCCGAAATCACGGAAAACGCTTTTCCGTCATCTACAAATGTTTAAACAGTTCGCGACAAAGCGAAGTACTATTACTCGATCCTCCTAACACCGCATCTAATGCTGAGGAAGTCGCACTTTTGAATCATGACGATCGGCAGTTGCGTCTGCTCCGCACATGCACCAACATGGCGGCGCCCACAGCACCATCGGGAAACAGAGTGTCGATACTTTCAGCCTAGCTCATTTAGTCGCTCTACTCGGTCCAAATTCAAGCTCGGGCACGATACGAGCAAACCAAAAACCACATTGCGCGTTCGGGTTCAGACAGCGTAAGGACGGCCTTCCCTTGAGGTCAGTGACTTCAAATCAGTGGCTTCTAGTCATTGCCAGCCGGCACGCGGAAGAACCAATCACAAAGCAAGAAAGGGAATCATTTGTCAGTGACTAGAACTGCTCTTTTTTTGTTTAAAGCAACCGAGAAGCCTGGAAGTAAGTTGTTCGTCGTAAAGGTATACGTATTTCTCAAATTTACCCGCAAGCGTGTCTTTATTCTTTTTAAACAATGACAGTTATTCCTGTTTCGCGACGCCGCGTTCGTTGAACGTCGGTGTTTTTGTAACACTAGAGGAGCCTAGAGACTTGAGAACGGAAGACATTGAGCTATTGGGAAGGTTTACAATTTAATGGCGGACATCTCCTGCCCAGGTTGGTGTCGCGTGTGCACGCCTGAGTTTCCCAATGTGAGAAAGATAGCAAGCAGACAGACCGAGTCAGACTTGTAGGTGTTGGTAGACCACAGTGGTAGTAGAGAGAGAGGTGTCTGAACGAGGCGAGAAATCGAGAAAGAGGGTCGAAATTTCACTCGGACTTCGCGCATCTCTCAGCAGGAACACTGTCGGTTTTGAAACACCCTGCGCAGGCGCGGTTGCAAGGTGCGCGGCCTCGAAAACGTGTACGCGAACAAGAACGGTTCCTCGACCCCGTAGTCATGGCTTTACATTTCACGGTGTTGGTCAGCGCGTGTCCGTGTGTGTGTGTGTGTGGGGGGGGGGGGGGGGAGGTTGGGGCAACTATGCCTCAATAATTTGAGCCTTCAACCGGCTCTCAGATTTGCTTACCCTATAAGCTACCCTGTCACAGCTTACCCTGTCACTAGTTGTGTGCGGTGCAGGCGAAGGCAACGCCAGGCGAAGAGAGAAAGAGCGAGTACTAGGAAGGTGGGGCGGGAGAGGAGGATAGTGGAGGGCGAGGGGAGAAAGACAGAGCACTACGAACGTTAGAGAGGAGAGGAGGTTTTTTTCCTTCTTCCAGCCTGCCTAGTGCTTGCCATTTCTCCCCCCCGCCTGGCGTTGCCTTCGCCTGTACTGTACGCAAGTAGAGACACGGAGTATAGCGAGCTAATGCGTGTTTACTCAAAGGCCGACGTACAACCTCGGTTTTCTGCAGGGAAGATAATCGTCTTAGCGCTCCCTTCTTCCAAAAGGGACAAAGGGAGCCAAGCTGGAACTAAGCAAAAAGTGTAGAGGATGTAGGAATGGACGAGGTGGGCAAAAGAGGAAAGCGCAAAGTGTACGTCGGCCTTTAAGCTTCGCATCCGCCACCCCCTCCTCTCTCTCCCCCCGAAATTCAGGCGATGTGATGTCCATGAAAACGCGCCAATCAGAGTGCCGAAATCGGGCCGTTGACTTGCTTCGCAAGCTTTTTCCGGTTACGCATTTGTGAACGTGAAAGAAAGACAAGGGCCTTAGATCCACGATGTTAGAGTTTCGGATACCCCAAACTGTCCTCTTCCCGTCGCCCTAATTCGGTGCGCGTCGATGTTCGTGCGCAGGCACCTGACCAAGGACGGGTACATGTTCCTGGCCAACAAGGCCGTGTCGGCCGACCTGCCCGTCCGCTGCTACTGCGTCTCTCGGCCCGGGGACTCCGTGGCGGTTGACCCGGCCACCCTGGGGGCTTCGCTGGGCCTGTGCAGTAGCGGGGGCCACTTCCGGTCCCCGACGGGGTCTCCCGTCCTCTCCGAGAAGGGCACGCCCGCCGGGTCAAGGAGCTCGTCGACCCACAGTTCGCCACCTGTCGGATCCCCCAGTGGCGGTGCCACTGACCGCGGGCAGGTAAGATCTCCGCGTTTCCATTTTTCTTATTCTCCTCGCGAAGCTCGGCGGCGATGCACCACCTCTTATTTACAAAACTACGATATCATAATTTTAGAGCGCAGCTCTTAGGCGCCCGTTTCCCGCATAAGCGACGTCGCCGTCGCCGTCGGCGTAACCGCGCATTACAATATGGAAAAATTTCCCCACTAAATGGGAGGGGGAACAGAAGATGAGGGGGGGAGGGGCATACCCTTCCCTCCTCCTCCTCAAGAGCTGCGCTCTAATTCGGCATTAAAGAAAATTGTTAACGTGTTTATTATTTTTTATTATTTTTTTATTAGAGGGGACAGGTGGTGAGAAGCAACACCTAGAATTATCGAAGCCTGCGAACAGCCTCTTTTATATTCCTGTAACATCAATTAAGGCCGGTAACCAAAGCCGCGCGTCCTTCGATGCATTCAGCGGGCACAATGCCCTTCCAAACACACGCAGTACTCCTGTCTGATATATATCCACACACGATCTTGTTGGGAGGACGCCAAAATGCTATGTAGTACGCGGCTTTGATTATTCTAGGTGGGGGTGAAAGCAACGAGGAAGTAATTAAAAATGTAGCTCGTAGCCAATAAAGAAAAACGGCGTTTGTTTCTGCTATGGTAATGACATAATCACTGGCAACATAAGAAAGGCTACACTCTAAAAAATAGGGAGTGTCCCTATGTCCCATATTTAACTCCAAAAAACTACATTTCGTCGTTCTGTCCACTGACGTCGAGCTGGCGATCCCAACTTTTACGAGCGCCTTGATAGCTGTCGGATATAACGCACTAAATAGCTAATGTGCGTAACAAAGACTAGAAAACATAAACACGGAAGTTTTGCAGCAGGGCCGAAAAATCGAAAGCCGTTTACAACTCCCTGTAACGCCGAATTAGAGCGCAGCTCTTGAGGAGGAGGAGGGAAGGCTGCTGGGGGGGGGGGGGGGGGGGAGGGGTCATTTGACCTCGGGGTGGGTGGTTACGTGACCTAAATCGGGGAGGGGGGGGGGGGGGGTCACGTGACTCCACCCCCTCCCTGAGGTCACCGAAGGTACCCGAGGTCCTCAGGGGGGCGGGGGCTCGCGGTTACGCCGACGCCACTCAAGCCGGAAACGGGCGCCTGAGAGCTGCGCTCTAAAAAACCTTGATTGTCTTAATGTAGCCTTTAATGAGTACATTAGCTATTTTAATAAGTTGTATCGCTCGACTATCAGGCAGCTCGTAAAAGTTGGTATCGTCAGCTCGACGTCAGTGGACAGAACGACGAAATTTAGTTTTGGGGAGTTACACGTAGGACAAGGGGAGTACTCCTGTACACCCCCATTCCTTAGAGTGTAGGTGTGGCGAGTCCTCTTCATACTGCTCGTAGTCAGTGAGATGACAGCATCAGTCGGCTAGACCACCGGATAAAAAACCGCGAAGCATAACGAGGCATGTCTTGCGTTTCGTAACCGGTCCGCGACTATGGTAATATTTGCCACCATCAAGCATCGTCCAACACTCAAAAGCCCCCCCCCCCCCCACACCTTTTTTTAGAATCGATTGTTTACAAATTTGGTGCCATATAGTGACTAAAATATCAGTCCAAATTGTTGTATACTTAAGGCCGGTTCACACATACAGCGAAGCGCTAAGTTAGCGCTACGTGAGCACTCCAAGGAGCGCTCATGTGGCGCTTCCTAGCGCGTGATGTAGCGCTCGGTTAGCGCTTCTGTAGCGCTCTGTTAGCGCTTCGGAAGCGCTTTGTTAGCGCTCTGTTAGCGCTACAGAAGCGCTTTGTTAGCGCTCTCACGCTTCTTGTGCCGTGCTTGCTGCTGCAAAACAGCGCGTGCACGGCTATTAAATTTTTTTTTTTTTTTGGCATTGAAACAAGAGGAAGTAAAACAGCCGCTCTCCAAGCAAAGGGTCGGGCCGACGACCCAGAGTAATAGACTCTGAGCGACTAATTGATTGGGTGCGACTTCATCACTTTCTATTCGATATGCGTGACCCTGGTTGCAAAACACGCAGTTAAAAATAATCGTCTTCGAAAGAGCTCCGTGCCTCGGTCCCTCAGCCTGGGAACAAGGTTCACCGGGTACCCGTCGGTATCTCGGTGGCGAAAGATTTCGCGCACCCAGAAGGCTCTTCTGGACGTTCAGCCGTCCACACACATTTGCACTAATCACGTATCTAAGAGCATTTTTCGCATTTCCATTTCAGCATCCCACATGTCCGCCGTGGTGCTGCTGACGCACACCCAACCACAGGAACCGGTACCACAGTGCACGCGCTAATCCGCAGCACCACGGTACAAGAAGCGCTACTGAAGAGCTAACACGGCGCTACTGAAGCGCTAAAGGCCCGTTCACACATGCAGCGGAGCGCTACAAGCATAGCGCTGACCTCGTGCTAAGCACGTGCCGACGGGAGCATTCACCAGCTTTGTATCGCACCGTCAAAACTGTTGCTCATGGCATACGATAAGTAGCTGATGGCACGTGAGGAGCGCTACATCAGCTCTTCGCTGCATGTGAGAACCGGCCTTAACAAGGCGCTACTGGAGCGCTAACAAGGCGCTACAGAAGCGCTAATCGCGCGCTATGTTAGAACTAAGTCACGCGCTAGGAAGCGCCACATGAGCGCTCCTTGGAGCGCTCACGTAGCGCTAACTTAGCGCTCCGCTGTATGTGTGAACAGGCCTTTATGGCGAATAAAATCTCGTACTTATTAATCAACAATAGACGTATGAAAGTTACGGTGTTTTTCGATTAACTGTTATTTCTTCGTTTGCTTCGGTTTCGATGGTGTCAAGAAGCTACCATTCTGCTCAAGGCGCTTATTAGCGGCGAGATGTTTTGGTGGCGCCCTCCTATGGTTCCCCTTGTGACGTCATTACCTTGCAAACAACAAGTTCGATGGTGTTTGTTATTAGCATGGTGGAAGCTTGAAATCATTGCGCTCTCAAAGGAACACTGCCAACACCGTCAAAATTAAAGTTTTTTCATTCCTCTTATTTCCGTCGATGATAAATCCCCTTTCCGACGTCATAGTCAGCGTTCGGCCAATCGTGGAAGGCCGACCACAGCGACGCTTTCGGTCGCGCACGGGGCTAATAGTTGAGTAAACCTTTCGATTGAATGGACCGATCTCACCAGCTATAGTTTAAGTACGCCACCGCTGCCGAGATGCATCGTGGGAGCTGTAGTCTTTCTGCACGCTCGACAACCCTGCTGGAGGTCTGCGTGAGCAGAGCACGAGGCGGTATGAGCTCTCTCGTGACCTGGCGTCTGCCTCCTACACTGTACTCCTACGAACTACAGCTATGGCGGCGTCACCCATGCGTGGAACGCTTGGTGAGATCGGTCTATTAAAATTTTATTGTCAAGAGCTGTCTTAGGCTTGCTGAAGGAAGCTGAAGCCGAGCATTCCAAGGACTTACGTGACAGCTTCAAATGCGTAGTGCGTAGAAGCTTATAAGTCTCGTACCGGTGACATCGAACAATACAGCGAACTAACGTTTGGGTGCTCAAACTCCGCATAGGTTTCGGTTTTCAAAAATTCTTCCTCACCAGCCATCAAAAGGCCGCCATTGGCATGTACAGATGATACACACTTATGTGTTGATAGCTATCGAAGTGGCCAGACTGAATTTCTTAAAGTGTATATTGTGCCCATTGACGTAGCCTCCTATTCTCTATACCGGAGAGGTATGGGTGGTGTTAAGAGTTCGCTACAAATGGGACAAAGGTAAAGAGAAGGGCACGAAATATCTCTGCGCTTGGATCCATGCCACCGAGCGGGCGGTCTTCGAAACCGCAGCTGTGGATTATCTGTCAAAGTACCTTTCTTCACGGTGAAATGTGTTTCGAAGGATAACTGCTGCCGCGTCAAGGTGCTTAGCGCCAAGATGAATGTTTTCCGTCATTTCGTTTTTTTTTCTTTCTTACGATAGGGCAATTTATTGTCCTGATCGCGAATGGGATGGCTTTGCTCGTATAGGGGAGCCTATACTATTAGATAATGAGCTATTGACTATAGTCTAGGTGCGGGAACAGTCATCGCCGCCCTTGTTTTTGTTTAATGCGACAGCATTCTTTAGCTACCCCCCCCCCCCCCTCTTCCGAATTTTTTGGACTTTCTGGCCCCCTAATGCGCAGTAGGCACGCGCAGTGTACCCAAGTTGAGCTCATATTCTCACACTCCTTCACATTCGTACCCTCTTCGGAAAATTTGACGACCTTCACGTCGTCCTCGAACGTCGCTCTAAAGGTCGTCCTTGAAGTCGTCGTCGACGTCTTAGACGACGTCCTTGAGGTTGTCCTAGACGGATGATATCGCAATTCATAGACAACCAACAATTGTGGTTTCTGTAGCAATTTATTTTATTATTGTTTTTTTTTTTTTTTTTTTTTGCGACAGAACGTTGCGCTTCTTAAAATCGTGGAAGTTAAATATACGGGCTCTGTTTTACAGACCTAGTGAACTGTTTATGCTGCTTCGAAAGCAACTTGTTTGTTGAGCCCCTCACGTATTGAAAGGCAGGGTAAATTCGAGCATCATGGTCTTGTATGTCGTACTGTACAATTCTGCATAAGTAATTCAATGATTCGGGGGCTCTCATTTGTCTTCTAGGGGGTGTTTTCTTCACCACCAAACAGCAAGAGACAACACCGCCGAAATGTGTTCCAGTTTCCGCCGGCTGAAAGAAGTTCCAGCGCAGTCAATAGCAGTTCGTGGACTCTCAGGAGGTCGAGGAGCAGCTCGAGCGACTTCCAAGACATACCGTCCGCAGACACGAGCTTGGAAGACGCAGCCCAAGACGCGTCGGACCTCACCATGTGCGTCATCAACGTCGAGTCCGCCAGCAGCCTCGAACCATCGCTGAGCAGCGACACGCTCTCATCAAGAGGAACTTCGCCCGGCACCGAACGCAAGCCGCTCGACAACATCACCAAGTCTGCCACCGCCGAGTCCCCTCTACACTCACAGGACGACGGTTCAGGCTTACGGGGCGGTTTCATGATCCTAGACGAACAGACTCAAAGTTCCGACGAAGGTCTTCCCAGACTGAAGTCTCCGACTACAGAAGTGTCTTACTCCAAGTTGAGAACAACATCGAAGAAGGCAAGCCTCACTTGCTGCCCGTTCGGCTCCAAGCGGCAAGACATGAACCGCAACGTTCAGCTTTCTGGCAGCCTACAAAACCTCAAGCCCCGGTGTCCTTTTCGCCTCGGAGGCGAAGATGAAGATGATTTGGAAGTGTATCAGGCGGAAAAAGCCTCCCACCTGGACATGCCCGATAAGCTCTACGACCTGTCTCACACGCCATCTTCAGAGTCTCCGAGTCCAGCATCGACGTGCGCCGTCCCCACAGTAGTCGTGAGGCCACCTCCAGAACCTCGGAGTTCCTTTCCTTGCTGGCGGTTTTTTCTCAAGAAAGCCGATAAGAAGTCGGCAAAGAGCGGTCTTCTGCAGCCCATCAGCGCTGATGGCTCCGGGCAATCCGGGCGGAGGAGTTCTTCGGCTGCGGGGTGCCCCATGAGGCGGATGTTCTCGCAGGTCCTCGCGGTGAACGTCGACGAGGCCGAGACTGCGTCTCTGGACGCTCCGTCGCCCGGAAAGCGAACTCAGAGTTGTTACTCGTTCCGTAACCTGGAAATTTCGGAATCCCGCAGCGACTCCGCCCGGAAGGAGTCCCCGTCGCACCGCTTCGCTCTCCCGCATTTCAACTGGCACTTCCCCAAACTGAAACAGAGGTTCACGAAGGAAAACTTGTTCGGCGGAGATTTTTTCTCGTCTTCGCCGAGGTGAGGACACGCTCGGCGCAGGACCAGATTAATCTTTTATGCAATTGCGCCTCAGGTTACGCATCGCAAGGTCGTCGTAAAAAGAACGGGTCGGTCACTTTATGAGGAGCCTAAAAATGTGGCTGGAGGGGTGCTTCAGTTTGCCATTATTACGCTGTTCAATCGCCAGAGTATGTAAACGAAATTGACTCTTGGGAAAGCTTGATAAACGTCGTGAAAACAATTAGCGCAAAAGACAAGAACAAGACAAAGCTCTTGTCCTGTTTGTACTTCATATTTTCCTTGTCTTTTGTGATAATTGTTTTCAGGATGTAGGCATACTGGTTTCAACTGTGCGTTTAATATAACCATGTTAAGAAGAATAGCGAACATTGTGTTAGAGGCTTTTTTAATGTAAGACTTAAAACTGAATGTGCGTGTCTTGCAACGACCAATGGGTAATAGAGTTTCAACAGGCATGCAATACGCGAGGCATAAAAGCGTACTATTGTTTTAATGAGTAGGTATAATGTTAGAACTCTGTTTTGACTGAGGTAAAATACATATCAGAAATTGCTCCTAAAAACTATATAAAGTGCCCCGACTCCCTTGCACAACACCATATATGATGTTTAGTCTAATTTGGTTTCCTACCATTCCCTTTTGCGGGTTGCTTGAACTTTTGGTGTCATTTCTAGTTTATACATTTTCTTATTTATGTATAACAACACTTCCGTTTCGAAAATGAAACCAAAAAGCTGGTTGCAGTGCTTTAATGCTACGTCGGTACTTATACAAACAAAAACTGAAACTCAATAAAACAGTTTGACTACAAGATGCGGTTAGTTATTCATCGGTTTTCAGGGTCGTGTAAAACTGATGCTTTCAAGTTTTTGCTGGAATCATAAACGTCGTGCCGGATGTCTGAAACTGCCGAGCGGTGTTATCGCCTTTAGTTACGACATGGTAGTAAATACGCCAAAAAACACACGCACGCACACACACACGCACACACACGCACACACGCACACACACACACTCACACAAAAGGACAAAAAAGAAGTACACAGAACGAGGCAGAACTTGCAACTGAACTTTACTGAAGGGAACACATAAAAAGAAGAATAAAACCGCACATGCGCAAAGATGATGGACTTTCATTCGACACCTTAAAAGCCTGCCGTCACTGTTGAGTGAGCGTTCCTGTAGTTGTTTCCGCTCCAAACAAACTTTTCAAACTATGCCAGAGAATAAACAATGCAGGAGTGCCGGATTATGCGGAAGGGCTGTGCGGCAAGTGTCATGCCACCAAGTTTCGGCAATGTGCCTTAGGGGTTACCTACGAGGTGTCTTGCGCTATTGTTTATGTTAGACAGACTGGGAAGTTCATTAAAGAGAGAATCAGAGAACACTCCGCCGCCAGCAGGCAATCCCCGTCTGGCCGCTTGGCTGTACATTGGGATAGGTGTGAGTGCCAGGCCGAGTTCAATAGTACTAAGATTGTGAAAAAATTCAAAACAAAATTGGAACACCAGATACATGACGCACTCATAATAAGGGCTCATGGCACGAATGTGTGTATCAGTGCTCCTTCTGTTGCCCTATCCGATAAGGAGCAGGCTTTCATCAGTCAAGCTACGCTCCCTCAAAAGTGACGGCAGGTTTTCAAGGTGTTCAATGGAAGTCCCTCATCTTTGCGCATGTACGGATTATTTTTTTTATATGTTTCCTGCGGTAATGTTTTGCAGCAAGTTACGCCTCGTCCTGTGTACTTCTTTCTCTGTCCCTGTGTTTTCTTGGCGTATTTACTACCATGCATAAGTACCAACTAGCCCAACTCGCAGTGTTAGTATAGTTATTACTCCACGCTGAGTGTGAAATACTTTATTGTGCTATGAAAACGCCCGCGATGAAATCACTTTTTGAAAAATAAATAAATAAACTAAAAAGTAAGATTTATCCTTGCTTCAAAAGCTGCGGATGCCTCGCTGGATATCGGAGAGTTGAAACCGAACTTATCCATGCAAAACTTTTTTCTGTATCGAATAAACTTTTTCTTGGCAAAAAAAAAAAAAAAAGACATAAAATAAATCAAGGTAAACCGGAGAATGATTGTCCTGAAAATTCTGACAGCCCACGTTCGAGCGAAGCTAGTCAAGGCATGTTCGCACATGCGGGATTGAGTGCGGCTGACCGCGTTGCGGCCACTTGCGTCCAAATAACACGCTTGCGCCATCTATCGGATACCCCGGGAAACACTCGCGATCAACGTATATTTTGTTTTTACGCATTTTTTTTTTTATCACAGGCTTGCTATAATTCTTACTATCAGCTTTTAAGCGACAGTTTCTCGCAGATAGTGCATGGACTCAAGCTCTAGATTCCTCGTTCCGTACCAAAAAATATCATGAAATGACTCATGAGCAGTACGCTACCACGTGGAAAGGTGCCCCACGAGACATTCCTTTAGCGAGCTTCTTTTGGAGAGTATCATATCAATGTACGCCCAGCGACATTGTTAGCGCGAATCATCCATGGGCGGTTTCATCTGTCTTTTTTTCTCTCAACTAGTATCGATCGAAGAACTCTCATAAAAACCACTAGACCGGTGAAGAGCGCTCGGTTGGAGGTACTAACGTGAGTGGTAAAATTTTGATGCCGGCTTGGTACGCTTTCGAAGTAAAACGCGAGAAAGCGCCGAAGTCATATTCGCGCTTACAGTGTCGCCTGGTGTATTCTTCCGTAGTTGTTGTGCTGATGTTACTGGTAAAAAGGGGCAGCGTTCGTTTTTCTATTCTTGAAGGGTACCCTAGAAAAATGAACTCGCGTGCTACTTGGCCCCGGTAGACCAATGTTTATCTTATTGAAAAAGATAGATACAGAAAGACGTAAGCGGTAAGGCTTGACATTGCGCTGTTCAAAAACTTTTGAGTGTCATCAATGTACAAAATATATTTTTGGCGAAAAGTATTCGCACGCCTTGCTTTCATTCACTAAATTCACCAAACCCCCCCCCCCCCCCCTCCCAACCCCTTTTCCATTTCTCCAATGTCATAATTGGCTCTAAGACTGCCACGAGCGGAAAGGCGTGACTTTAAACAGAGTATTTCTTCGATTCTCGTGAAATGTGACCTGACCTTCACGTAGCATTTTATGCCGTCACGTAATCAATAAACACGTGACTCTTGATTTTTTTTTTCTTTTCGCTTTGCTGAAGGAGTAAATGCGCTGTCGCATCTTTGTCTTTGGTTGAACTGCACAGGGTCAAAAATGAAAAGCACTCTCACGCCGTACATCCAAACAGTATAGTTGCGGTTGTTGATCCGACCTTGCCCTTATAATGCTCTAGCTTATCTTGAGCACAAAATAGAAGCCAACCTCTTTCGGACCAACTCTATAGCTGGTCTGAAACTCAAAGATGCCTATTCCGCAGCAGTCATAATCGGTTGTGTTACGTCTAATCTTGACCAGCTCGTCTTCGCCCTGACCTTTGGCGCATAGCTGTATTCTCCGAGAATGAAGCAATGGTTTTAAACCGAGCTCGACAGAGTCGTTCACTGACTAAGAGACGAAGCCACACTTGATTCTCGAGAACGCATGCTTTCGTACACACGTCCACTGTGTGTTCGTGTGTAAAGCCCCTCGTCACGCTGCCAACACATGACATAAGAGGCACTGCGCAGGCACTGTTCCCTCCTTGTACGACGATCCTGTCATCCAAAATCTGTCTGCGGACATGCTCCCAGCATACATGAAGCTTCCAACATGCCCGAGTCTTGTCCGCAGGTCTCAGCATGTCTGCAAAGAACAGTGTGTCACGACTTATGAGCGGTGTACCTGCGGCTCCAGCGTTGAGGAAGAATGGGAAGGCGCTCCAAACATCGCCGACCGGACCAATAAAAAAATCGTAGCTGTTCTTCTTTGACTCGGTCTCTTATCTCGGCGAATCCGTTTGTACTACCACCATCACCGTAAGTACGTATATGATGCACCTCGAAAATCGCACTGAAACAAACGTTGTGGTGCAATCACCCGATTCTGTACATCTAGTTTGGTATGAAGCGATGAAATGAAAGCGGCTCAATGGTAAAACTCAATAGAAATATTGGCAGAGACCTTTACCTTCAAAGTCGTATAAAGCACGAAATGCATTATAGGGGATTGGTGTGTCACCTGACATATATTTTCCCGCTAAATTTATTGTGGAAAGTGAGTGGCTGTGTACGTCACGTGACGTCCATTTCTCCCGCTAAATTTAGCCGGGAAACTGGATTGGTGTCTACGTCACAGACGTGAATTTTCCCGCAAAATGTAGCGGGTAACTGGGTTACGTTTTGGCCACGAGACGGGAATTTTCCCGCTAAATTTAGCGCGGGAACTGGGTTAACGTATAGGTCACGTGCCCTCGATTCTTCCAAGGTGTATACGTCACGTGACGTCAGGTGACGTAACGTAACGCCACTTTCCCGCAAAACGTAGGAGGAAACTAAATTTGTGTATAGGTCACATGACATCAATTTTCCCGGTAAATTTAGCTAAGAAACTGAGTTAGTGTATAGGTGTCGTGATATCAATTTCCTCGCTAAATTTAGCGGGAAATGCACGGACAGAGGGACGGACGGCCGGACGGCCGGACAAAATTTCGGGATTGGGGGTTGCGTGGAACAGCATTTTATGCTTTGAAATATCAGATAACCCACCCCCAGGGGTGTTCCAACCCTGCACATTCTAAAAAAAAATAAAATAAAAACGTCCGTGAGTACACTATCCCGCAGAAAAGGAAAACAGCTCATCAAAGCGAACAATAGAAGAATCTCGGCAAACGACAAACGACAAAGAAGGAAAGAAAAAAAGAAAGTTCACAGTGTTGCCTTTTCCGCAAACAAGAAACTACGCACTGCTGAGCGCTCAATCTCCGCCCAAATGTGGCAAATAGCTGTTCGAACCAAATGCCTAAAGTTTCGGAGCTAACCGTTAGCTTATTCCAAAGTCAAACGTGATTTTATGAACCATGTAAGCGCAAAGCGCAGGATCGCGGCGATGGCCAGCGCAGAAAAACAACGAGCGACGTGCGACGAGACACCTCTGGCTCTGCTTGATTGGCTGTAGAAATAATGGAAATACTTTCAACGAAGGTTTACCTGGTTTACCGACAAAAGAAAGGCTGCAGTGATCGTAGCTGTCGGCAGATGGAGGTGCCGGTCCTGCAGCTGTACCAGCGGAACCGGGGAATGGCACTTCGCCGGAACGTCGAAAGATGTCGCCACCGTCGCAGAAATGCCGGCACCAGTATCTCGCGCCTGAGGAATGATCCTCACAAGCACGGAAAATCGAAGCTTTAATAAAAAAATAAAAGAGAACGAAAAAGGAGCTAAGGCATTATTGTCGAAATGGTCGTTTCGACCAATTTCGGAGTCGGAAACGCAGAGAACGAGAGTCGTGAGTAAACTTCGAATCGTGCCTTTCTTGTCGTCTGCTCCGCCGTCGGAGCGGCACTTTAAAGCATCAGCGATTCCCCTTTTATGCTGCCTCCCATCCGTGGAAGGCGACGTAGATTACGCACTCATAAAACGTACATAATAAAAAAAAAAAAAGAAGTCCGCCGATTTTCGGCAAGAAATCGAAATGTTTCTCGTTGAACCGTTTCAAATTCGAAACATACGACGTATAGCCTGTGCGTGGAATAATAATACGCACTCTATATTCCACCCCCTAAACATGCCCGCGTGTCGACCTTACGGCGGGGATAAGCTATCTTAAATTGTACTCCTCTCCAATGAAACTCGTTGGATTAAAGAAACCTTGAGTCGGACAGGTGACATACGACGCGTACGT